CACTGCCACCTTGTGGGGGCACCAGAGACTTCACTAGTATTTTATGTACCTCTATGATTGAGAAGTCATTTTAATTTTGTTACACATTTAGCAGGGGCAGGACATGAAAACGAAAAAGCAATTTCCTCTTTCTTTTCTTTGTAGTTGTGTCACACTTTGAGCAGTCTTGGAGAAGAAAATGAACATACAGTTTGGATTATGTATTTATAATTTTACTTATGAGTCAAAAAAATCAGGTACATGTTGAAAATGAAACAGCATTTCTATTAATCCATTTTAATTAGGATTATGGAACACAATCGCTTCCATATGTTAGAGGTGTGAGTTGAAGATCTGTTTGATGGGTTCTTCTGCCAAATTGGTTGGAAAGCTGACCGAATAAAACTCTTAAGGCAAACTGGATGTTTGCATCATGGAATGACCTTTGACCCTGAGTCAAACAACACACATAAGACGGCACGGTGCTGCCTTTTGCACATTACTAGTAACAAAACTAAGTCCCATAAATGATTTACTTGAGTCTAAAACATGTTGAAATGTCAAAAGTAATAAAATAAAAAGTGATCAAAGGTGGTAGAGCTTTGACCAGATAAGGTAGTAAAATTTATTGCAATTGTTATCTTTCTTATAGGTTACAAATGTCATAAAAAGGCTATAGCTTCAACATTTTTAAAATGGGAAAGGTACAGTATATTTAAATAAAATGGTTCTTCTATTTCCATATGGCAACCACAAACTCTTCCGTCCTGAAAATAATAATAATAATAATAAGGATCAGACTTGTTTGTTCAGCACATCCCACGAATGTTAGACATAGAGGAGATCTGGACAACTTAAGCCAAGTGGACACTTTAAATTTGTGATTTTGTTACTCTTGAGCGATTTTGGCGTGTGTCAAGTTACAAGATTTTGTTTAAAGAAAACACTTTTTCCATTATTATTTTTTCTATATTTTCCATTTTACTGTTGCTAAATTATTACCTTTAAGCAAATAGTGTTTTATTTGTTTATAAATTGCCCATCTGCTTGCTAAGTGTCATTTTAATAAGTTAATATTTTTTTCACTTCCCTGTTTATGGTGAACATTTGACTTTCAAGCATTCAGGAATGCATTGTGGGTAATGTAGTTCTATAAGGAGGCTATCTCATTAGCTAACCTCTGTCTGTTATTCCTATATGAAACTCTGACAGCCCAATAGTTTCTCTAACCGTGTACTCACTAATGTAGTGATAAGCTCAGCTGTTTAAAACCCTTAATGTTTTAGTGTAACAATAAACTGACGCAGTGATTTTTAACACAGCTGTAGCTAACGCAACAGCGTTAGCATGTGTAATCGATGAATTAACAGTGCTTTGAGTTTGACACAGCTAGCTATAGAAAAAAAACATTAAAAATAACAGTTTTAACAACTAAGCGTCCACCATGTTGTGTCTTATTTGTCCAACATTATAATGTTGTGCACGTAAGCAGCTTTTCGTACAAAGGCACAAGTTTCATTTCTGTCTAGAGTATGATCAATCAACTGAATCATGTTAGCATTTATTAGCTTGCTGTGTCGTCCAAACCCAAGGAGCGCTTGATATGTTCTACACAACCTGACTGAAAGGCGGGACAATTTCCGACCAAGAATCATGCATGCTAAAAAATAAGGCTCCGCCCATCCACGACTAATCAGATTACAAAACATTCTTCCCCCATCATAACCACCAGACATGGAAAGGCCTGTCTCCCATAGAAAACAAGTCGCTGTACTGAAAACAAAAGCAATTCTAGTTGATTTATTGCTACAAAACGCTTACCATTTGTAGTATCCGTCTGAACATGGCCACGGCTGCGTTTGTCCTCGACACAAAATCCGATTAGTTATCCTTAATGTCAAGTTTACGACTCTGAAACACCGAACACCTGACCACCAGTGCGGGGAGCAGCAGCGGCGGTGGGTGGGCGGGTCACGAAGGGGAAGGCTGAGCAGCTGGGATTCACTGTCCGCCCGTAAAAAAACAGCACAAGCATTAAAGCAAAATATGTTTATTTAAATATATACATACAGCAAAGCAGCATATTCCTGTCACACATACAAAAATAAAATCAAAAATGGTACTATTAATTGCCTTAAAGTACAATAATATTTCTAACAATTTGGGTTGGTGAGACTTGAAAAAGTTTAATTGAATGGGGGCAATTTTCACAAATTTATTCATACACAACACCATACTCTGCAATTAACTGTAACAAAAATGCTTAAAATAAACTCAAGGCTATGAACATAGTTTTAAACATTGTAAAGCTGCATTGTTCATTCACTTTTTTTACTGTCTGACTGTGTTCACTAAAGAAGGCACTTTAAAATATACTAACATACTAGCTTCCCAAAAAGGTTTTATCATACAGACTAAAGCAATCAAATGCCCCTGATAGATTATATTTGAAAAATTATGTAATTTCTCAGAAGCGTGCTGCCCAGAGTAACTCAAATATAATATTTGTGAGTTCTATCCAACTTTGTGAGAGCTGATATTTAATTGCGAGGATGTTGTGTAATCTGTACTGTAGTGTACTCTGACATTAAATGTTTTAGACAGCACTAATTTAGGGTTTTCTTTTAATGAGGTGGATAATGTGCAGATAACACTGTTATTTGTTATACCAAAACAGACTTTAAACCAGCTCTCTTAGGGGAGAAATTGCAAAAACATAACCAAGAGTGTCACAAGGCTAATCCTCTCCTCTGTTAAAAAAATCACTTAATTATACTAAAATATTCCCACATTCTTGGCTAATCCTCCTAAAATGTCTTCCTGCAGAAGGACATTATTTAACTCTGAGTCAGTGTGGGAAGCTAAAGCTTCCCAGATCCAGCCTGCAGGAAGTCACCAACACACTGTGGAGACGGCCGGTCCAATATAGCACAGAGATGCATGTTTGTATCTGTTAAACACATTTACTTTGCGCCCACCAGTTCATTCTGTATGTTTAGAAAAGGTTTTTTTGTCAGATCACGTCCATCCCAGCGTCCTCTTGAAAAACAAACATCTGCTGCGGGTTCCTTATCTGTTGAACAGGTCCGAGTCTGGCGTGGAGCGAACAACGTAGTGCGGCGCCTTGTTGTCCATCGCTCGAGACCGCGGGGCGTTACCATTAGCGGGGCAACACAAGCTGGGACCACGGGTGTCGGCGAGTCTGCGTAGGTACTCTGCGTGGACAGGTTTGTTGCTCTGCAACACCCTGATGGCTTCGTCAACCTTAAACCATCTCCTCTTCCGTCCTGCGAGGTTATACAAGGAAAAGGGCAAAAGGTTTAAATTAATCTGAGATTCTTTATTTCATGGATTAGTATTAGGGCCACGTCAGACCGGGAGAAAGTGCGCAGAGTGGAAATGGAAATTATTTCAAGTCTCCAAACCCTTCTTTAAAAGTTACAGTGGTTTGCAAAAGTATTCATACCCCTTGAACTTTTCCATATTTTGTCACATTACAACCACAAACATAAATATATTTCACTGGAATTT